CATATGGGTCTATGAGTGGTAGAATAATATCTTAAACTCTTGAACACTACCATCTTTTTATTAAAAGAGGTTTTAAACTCTGACTAGACTGTCCTTGAACATCCTATGGTATGCAGACTATGTTTGTGCATTTTCCTGGGTCAGACAGAAGGTCTGTAACATTTTTGAAAGACTTCCAGAAGATTAAGAACCACTACTCTCAAAAGATAAGTTCTATAAGTACAGAAGTTCAACAACAGGATAAAGGCAGGGTATTTAGCAATGGATTGAGTAGGGAAGATGAGACCACTGGGGTGATAGGAGGTCATGGGGAAAGAGATATGGGGATTCAGTGCCCTGAAAGGAGCACTGAGAGACAGGAGAACTTCAGAAGAGGCAGGAGTTGGTCTGGAAGGATGAGTTAGGAAAAAAAGTGACTAGAAACAGATAAGAATTATGATTGTTAAATATTAAAGAAAAGTTAGTGATATTGGTGTAGAAACTCAGAAAAGATCTTCAGTTATTCTGGGGCTGGAAGGTGAGCAAAGTGGTTAGAGGACTGGCCCAGAGTCATGCGTCAGCTGATGTTTAAGGAGCTTGCAAAGCTGCTTCTCACTTTTGAGGCTGCAAGTTCCATTTGGTACCATGAGGTTGGAGCCTACTGCCATTACAGCAAGGCTCACAGGACTGGTCTCTCCATCACCAGGAATCATGATTCCAATCCATAGTCTCAGATTGGCAACTGCTCCCTCTCCAGCTTTATTTATGAAGGAATACAGAGGGCAGCCAGGAAAGTCAGCAACTTGTTCTTAATAAGTATGTTCCATAGAGGTGCATGGGCTTGGAGAGGGGCACAGATTGAACTTTGCACAGAAAGGACCAGCCTAGGTGCAGAATGTCCTTCTTGGATGCTTTCAGAGCTATGTTCTGACCTGTCTTCTCTGGAAATAGTTGCAGCTGGTTGCAGATATCTGTGGTTGCAATGCCTCAGACTCCAAGGCTCTTCTGAATTGCCTGAGGACAAAATCCTCTATTGAGTTGCTGAACCTTGGCCAGGTGAGGAACAAAGGGAGTTTTTGGGAATAAGGTTACCCTCCATTATTTGTTTTGACTTAGGACTTGGAAAAGAGAATGGCTTGGGACTAATGACAATGGTTGCAACAAAATGATGGAGGGAATAGAACTTTTATAAGTGATTTAGTGAACTTTCTGGGATAGAGGTGATGCTTGTCCTGGAGATACAGCAAGATATGATGGTTGTCCCTGCCACACTAAAGAGAAATCACACTTATTTTATGTATTCGCAGGAGCTGAAGTCAAAACTGAGAGCTGGCCATGAGCCATGCTGGCTTCATATAACTGAGAAATTCCTAAAGCCTCAAAGATCTGTAAAAGGTCTGGGCTTCTTTAGAAGCAATAAGATTCCCATCTCTGCAGATGTTTAAGCAAGGTCTGGCTGCCCACTGGCAAACTTTCCATCACTGGATAGTTAACTAGATTGGATAATAGCCTGTATATCTATCTATGCTACGTACTGATACATTGGGCTTGGTTAATAGTGTTTGTTTTTTCCTTTTTTGTGGTACTGAGGATTGAACTCAGGAGTGCATTACCACTATGGTACTTTTGCATACTTTTTTTTTTTGCCATTTTGATTACAGTAGCTCACTAGATTGCTCAGGCTGGCCTTAGACTTAAAAATATTTCCATGTCAGCCTCCCAATATCCCAAGGAGCTGCAACATTTTTCCTTGCTAAATGCATTTTGACCATTGCTTGACTAGATTGGCTTAGCTTGACTAGGATTTGGGAGCAGCAGACTTTGAGAACAGGGGTAACTATTTTTTCATCTCCTTTTTATTTCAGAAAACAAAGTCTTTCGATCGAGTGATTGATGGCCTTTTCTTCCCTGATGAGCCTGTAGAACTATTGTCTCAAAAACAATTTAAAGCAGTGCCTTCCATCATCGGAGTCAATAACCATGAGTGTGGCTTCATGCTGCCGATGGTAAGAATCCCTGCTGATCACTCCACGGTGATGCAGCTGTTTGCTTCCCTAGCTGACATTTGCAGAGGTGACAGCCAGCATTAGGAGGGCTGGAGCCTACTGTCATGCATAGTGATAATCCTCCTTGTGTTTGCAAAGAGGCTGTCTTAATCTGTTTTGTGTTGGTATAACATAATATGAGGTGCCAGCTCATGTAAATTAAAGATGTTTATGTGGCTTGCAATTCTGATTCTGCAAAATCCAAAGAATACGGAACCAGCCATTTGTGAGGACTTCCCTGGCCATGATACTGCATGGTAGAGGAGCAGAAAGGGAAATGGCTGCATGCAGAAGGGGCTAAATATGTCAGGTGGTTTTGCTTTGTAACAACTCACTCTGCTGAGAAATATGTCTTGAAAAATGGCAACAGTTTCCTTCCACTGGGCCAAAATTGTTAAAGATTCACTACTTTTCAGAGCCATTACAATGAAGATGAAGCTTCCAATGCATGAAGTTCTGGTGGACAAACTCAACTATTTTCCAGACCACAAGAAAGGAAATTTAGGACCAGGGTTGGGAAAATAGACTGCAGCCAAGTGTCTGTCTGCTTTGTTCTTCACACAGGCTTACAGCAGAAGAAGAAACTACATAAAAAGGAAAGAGAATGTTTTATTCATTTAGCCTTTATTACAAAACATTGTATATGATTTTGTCAAATAAGCTCAGTGACTACTTCAGAGCTGCAAGTCACATATCTTTAGAAAACTTTAGTCCTTAAAAGCTTTTCATATACAGACTTGACCCAGGTATTTTGAATTCCAATAAAACTAATTTTGTTCACATTGCAAAGTTATTAAATCACTTTATTGACCATCTTCCAGCTCACCAGATCCTTTTCCAGCCAGAGTTGAGGGCCAGTGTGTGTGTGGGATCTGCTGGCTTGCCAGATCCCTTTCCAGCCAGAGCCCAGGCCTTGCCTGTGTGTGGGACCTTCTGTGTGTTTGCTGGATCCCTTTGCATTCAGAGCCCAGGTCCAGCTTGTGTGTGGGATCTTCCACCTGCTTACCTGCTCCCTGGATCCCTTTAAAGCAAGTGCCTAGGCTCCGTGTGTGTGTGGGACCATCTGCATACTCACGGGAACTTCCTCCATCAGGTAGGCCTGGTGCGGAACCCTGCAGCAGAACTTCCTGCCAGAGGCTAAGGACCAGACTCACCCAGCTAATTCAGGAGCTGAACATCTTGCAAGAGGGGCACAGTGGTTCACTTCCTCAGGCTGTAGCAGGAAGAAGCTGAGCACTGCAGCCACACCAAAGCCAGCACATCTGGATGAGTTTGAACTTGGTAGATCTGGACCCAATAAGTTGAGACACTTTGCTAGACCCAGATCTATGAGAACATCCTCTTTCTTTTTTGATTGAGAGAGGGGGTAACAGGTAAGTGAGGTGAACTAGTTTGCCTGAAAGACCCCAATGTACATCAAGGAGCATTGAACAGACAGAAATTGGCAGAACTAATTTAAATACAAATTCCCAATTTAATATTTGCTTAGCTACACAGACATAATGTTTGCCCTTATGGTCTAATATATAGACCTATTAGTTACAAAAGTTTGTCAACAGCTAAATACCTCTACCCATTATTAGTGTTCCTAACTGTAATTCTATAAATGCAAAATTGTAACTGCCTTAATCACATAATTGCTCTTAGGTAAGAATTTCGGTAGGTGCTAAGGTAATAACTGCACCAAAGATCTACCCCAAAGGTCAGAGGACAGTGCTATACAAATGACAAAGAGAAAGAGCAAAATTCATTCTCAGTCCCTGAGCCCACCCAGAACAAATGCAGGAGACACTAACATTGAAGAAACTGGAAATCACACAACTGAAATCACTGAATTAATAACATCTGAAGTAAAGAAAGAAATGCAGAAAGGTATAGAAGAAATAAGATCAGAAATAGTTTCTGAAATAAAAAATGATAACTATAATGCAAGAAGTATTAAGTGCTTCTAAAGAAGACACTGATAAAAAATAGAGGAGAAAAGAAAATTAATGGAATTCTGGAGTAAGTAATGTAGGAAAGAAATAGAATTCATGAAGCAGATTCAAAGAGATATGCAGAAAATTAAAACCTCAATCGCAGCTGGCAAAACTGTCTGAATGAAAGTGAAAATAGAGTTTCAGACCTTGAAGACACCATTGCAGCTATTGAAAAGATAAGAAAAGATCTCTTAAAAACAACTAGGATGTAGGAAAAAAGTAATTGAACATCTGCAAGATGATACAATGATGAACAACGTAAGACTAATAGACATCAATGATAAAGAAGGAGTCAATACAAATGATATAAAAAATATGGGCAGAAGTAATAGCAGAAAACTCCCCAAATATGGGGCAACAATCTGACATTCAGGTAACCAAAGCATATAGAACTTCAAATAACATCAGCCCAATGAAAACTACTCCCAGACTTATAATAATCAGGATCCCAGAAATTCAGCACAGGAACAGTAGACTAAAAGCTGCTAAAGAAATAGATCACATTTAAAGAAAACTCATCAGAATAATGGCATATTGCTCTTCACAAACTATTAAGTCAAGAAGAGTACAGAGCAAAGTATTTCAAGTCTTGCAAGAAAACAAGCTCCAAACCAGACTGTTTTACTTGCTAAACAATCTTTCAAGTTTGATGGAGAAGTAAAATACTTCCATGACAAAGAACAACTAAAGAACCACATGATGAAAAAGCCAACCATACACAAGTACTAAAAGATATTCTAGAGAAGGACCAAAATGACTACAATTCCATGAGTGAGAACAGAAAAATCCCACCATATATGGCAAACAATTAAACACAGGACAAAAGAGGTATACAAAGCAGGTAAATAACATGTCAGACCTAAGTCAATACATCTCAGTTAAAACCATCAATGTAAATGTACTCAATTCACCAATTAAAAGAAATAGACTGGCACAGTGGATAGGAAGCAACATCTAACAATATGCTGTATTCAAGAAACACACTTAACTCATAAAGAAATTCATAGGCTGAAAGTCAAAGGATGGAAAACAATACTAAATGCACCAGCATCTTAGGAAAAAGCAAGTGTAGCAATCCTGTTTGTAGACAGTCTGAATGTCAAACCAAGAATGATCAAATGAAATGAAGAAGGGCACTACTTACTGGTTAGGGAAAAATACAAGAGGAAGAGGTAACACTCATAAATATGTACACACTCAACTATATAAGACAAATCTTAATGGACATGCAAAATTTAATATCCAATACCACAATCTTAACAGGAGACCTTAACACATCCTTATTGAAAAAAGACAGGTCAAGCAGACAGAAAATTAGCAAAGAAGTAGCAGAACTGAATCAGAAATTGGAACAAATGGACTTAGTGATTTTCTAAAATAGACCACATACTAGTCCATAGGTCATGCTTAAGTTTTCATGCAAGAAAAGAGAAATTATCCCATGCACATTATCTGACCACAGTGCAATGTACCTGGAAAGAAATGACAAAAGAAACCAGAAAAACCCCATAAATACATGGAAATTAAACAACACTCTCCTCAGCAACCAGTGGGTTACAAAAAGTGTACAATACTAAAGGCAATCCTGGGCAAGAAAGGAGGAGGAGGAGTCATTACAATTCTTGAATTGAAATTATACTACAAATCCATTGTGATAAAATCAGTAAGTTATTGGCAAAAAAGTAGACTTGAGGATCAATGGAATAGTGTAGAAGGTGCAGATGCAACTACAAATACACTCAGCCATCTTATCTTTGACAAAGGGGCCAAACATGATTACTAGAAGAAAGACAGCCTCTTTAACAAATGGTGTTGGAAAATCTGGCTTTCTACATGCTGAAAACTAAAACTTGACTCAGGCCTATCACCATGCACTAAATTGAAATCAAGATGGATTAAAGCTTTAAACCTTAAAACAGAAACACTAAGTCTACTGGAACAGAAAGGAGGTGGAAATCTTGAAGACATAGGGGTAGCCAAACAGTTCATGAAAAAAAAATCAAACTGAGTGGGAAATACTTGAAGTAATTAACAACTGGGACCTCCTCTTATTGAGAAGTTTTTGTACATCAAAAGCAATTACCAACACAGTGAAAAGACAACCCACAAATTGGAAAAATATCTTAACTGATGAGCACTTGGACAAAGATCTTCTCTCTAGAATTTACAAAGAACTGAAAAACACTAGGGCTCCAAAATTTAAAGACTGACCCTAGAAATGGGCATGTGAGATGAACACACACTTCTCAGAGGAAGAAATACAAGAAGCAAATAAATACCTGAAAAAGTGTTCTACATCACTTGCCATCCATGAAATGCAAATTAAAACATCACTGAGATATCATCTCACCTCAGAAACAATGGATATCATAAAGAAACCAACCAACAACAAATGTTGGACAGGCTGTGGAGAAAAATGAACCCTTTTCCACTGCTGGTGGGAATGTAGACTGGTGCAACCATTATCCAAATCAGTGTGGAGACTCGTCAAAAAACTAGGACTGGAAATCCCATTCAATCCAGCTATCCCCCTTTTTGGAATTACCCCCCCACCAAAAAAAACAAAAACAAAAACAAAAAACAACAAACAACTGAAAGCCTCATATCATAGTGATATATGTGAGCCTATTTTAAAAGCAGCACAATTTCTGATAGCCAAATCTTGGAAACAATCAAAATGATCAGCACCTGAGGAATGGATTAAAAAGGTGTGGTGTTTTTATACAATGGAGTATTACTCAGTTATAAAGAAAAATAATCTTAAAGCCCTCATATATAAGTGGATGCAACTTGAAGATATACTCATAAATGAAATAAACCAGATCCACATATGTAAATATTATATTGTGTCCCTATTGTAAGAACTCAAAAGAAGAAATAAAAATTGAAAGGTATAACACAGTTAAATGGAAATTGAGAACTGAAGGATTAAACAATGAAGACAGAGAGTGGGGAAAAGTTAGGAAATATGGCAGGGGCAAAACCATACATTTATATACACAAGATGGTTAAGGCAATGGTCCTAAGAATCTCCATTAGGTGTTTGAAAATAGCAGTTAATGGGTAGAATTCTCAACCTGACTAACTGTATATGCTGATATCTGTGAATTTAGCAACTACACTGAGGAGAGCAATGTGTAATACTAAATCTATGCTTGGGATACCTGTCATTTAGTCTTCTAAAAGTGTACTGCTTCTAATGTCATATCAGTTTATTTCTATGCTCTTTAAAGTAAATGTTTCTTTAAAAAGGTAATAAAATAAACAAGGGATAAGAAAAAAATGTCACAGGATTGTCTTGCTACAATGTTGTATATGGTTTGATTTCTCAATTTCTGTGTAAAAATGTGTAATTTTTGTTTTCATATTCTATTGGTATTTAAAGTTTAGAATATCCATGGTTGTTGGAAAATAGCAGTTCTATGTTATGTCTAAGGCATTTTAATATTCAGACAGACACTGATATTAAACTCAACTGCCTCTATTACAGGATAATAACACCATTAAGCTTCTTTTCTGGATGTTTAACAGCTAAAGTTTGCAGGCCAAAAATTAGAGAAGAGGGCTACAAGAATAGCCCACATTTTGGCCCTAGACCTCCAAAGTCAGTGCTGAATCAGTACATAAGTAAACCTGTGCTGTGACATCCTGTTACTCAGTGGTGTCCCAAAATTTTTGAGCAAGAAGACTAATGGGCCACAGGGAAAAGTGATTGATGATACATAGTGTGCCTAAGGAGAGTTACCTGAGAGAAAAAATTCTCTCTCAGGCTTTCACAGAGAGCAAATTGGTTAAGCAATGGCTGTGATTCATCCAGATGGCTGACAATGATGAAAGATCTACAATGTACATGGTTTCAGGGTAAATTCTGAGGGCATTTTACTCATCTTGTCATATACAAAAGTTGCATTTTTAGTTTTATAGATCTTGCTTTATCTTGGCCATAACCATCCGGCAGAAAAGTATAACCATGAGGTATAAAAAGTAAAGCCATATTAAGATGCTAAGCTGTAAAAGGCTTATGTCAACAACTTCAGACAATTGCCAGATGTGTTGATAACCCACTACTATTGTGGACTATTGGACTATATTCAGTTATTTTGCTTCGTTCAAGTACCTACAATATTTGGACTGGCATCACATATGAAAAGGTCCTTTAAAGAATTCTCCAAATGCAGCTTCTCTAACAGCAATGGGACATCCACCTCTGACAAAACAAAACAAAAATGGGTATAT